AGCAGAAGTGGCGTCGACCCACTCGAGAACAGCAGCAGGAGAAATGGCGTCGACCCGCCCGAGGACTGTAGAGACGGCGTCGACCCACTAGAGAACAGGAACAGGAACAATGTTGTCGACCCGCTGGAGATCAGTAACGGAGGCGGCGTCGACCCGCTGGAGAACAGGAACTGGAAGCGGCTCGGCGGCAGCGTCGACCCGCTGGAGAACAGGAACTGGAAGCGGGTCGGTGGCGGCGTCGACCCACTCGGGAACAGGAACTGGAAACGGCTCGGTGGCGGCGCCGACCCGCTCGGGAACAGGAACGCTCGGCGGCGGGACCTCAGGAACGCTCGGCGGCAGGACCTCAGGAATGCTCGGCGGCGGGACCTCAGGAACGCTCGGCGGCGCGATCTCAGGAACGCTCGGCGGCGGGACCTGGGGAGTGGCGGGACCTGGGGAGCGGCGGGAGCGGCGGGAGCGGCGGGAGTGGGGAGCGCGCTGGGGAGCGGCGAAGTCTGATGTCGCCGGGATCTACGTCTCTTCTGTAGGGCAGCGGACTGAAGACAGTGCGCGTGGCAGAGGACGCGACACTCGGCGGCTGAACCTCCGCAACGCTCCGTGGCTGAACCTCCGGTAAAGTAACACGGGGGGGTGGAGAAGAGGGAGCAGTAACGAGAGGAGTACTCACAGGGAGAGCCGGAGATGATTCAGCACTGGCAGATGCCATATTGTCCAACCGGGAGGAAAAGCCTTGGACCTGGGAGGAGAGGGTCTGGAGGTAGACCCTTATCCCGTGTAGCAGCTGGTCGTGCTTTCCAAGCAAGGTTTCTTGGGCATTAAGAGCCTCCTCAACAGTGCCGCGGTTCGTTGGATCCATGTTTTTTGGCCAGAGGATTCTGTGACAGTTCGTGCTAAGTGACTGTGCGGGTGGACCCAAACGAAAAGGGAGACGGGGAGAAGGGTTAAAGGAAACAGGATTTATTTAGGGAAGGTGGTGGAGTGATGGGCACCAGGAAGCAGAAACATAGTCCGGTGAACGGGTGCCGGCCGTGGGGGGTGCCGAGGGTGGTGCGAGGAGGTCCGGTGCTCGTGCGTGCCTTTGTGGAAGTTTTCCTGGTGTAGAGAGGGGGCCGTGGAGAGGGAAACCAGGGTGGTGCGCAGGGGTCCGGTGCTCAGGAGTCAGTGCTTGTGGGTGGTGCTCT